TAAGGCTAAAAACCTCCCACTGAGACTTCAAGTAATCCACCATCCACAAGTCAGTGACTCTTCATGCCACAGCCCTGCAGCAAAGCCATCAGTTTCAATAAACCAACCAGTGAAACTCAGGAGCCTCCAGACAGAATTTGGCCCAGCTAAGAGTTTAACTGTTTAGAAGCGATAACCGAGGCCTTTCAGCCTAAGGCAAACTGCCTTAGAGTCCTGAAAGTGTGAAAGGGCTTCAGTGCTTGGCATTTGTCATACTGTTTTAGTATTTTGATTTAAACACTTGTGCTCATGCTTTCCTGTTTTCCCTTGCAATCACAGATTAGCCAACCTTTTGTTTTTGTCTTAAAGAAGGCAGAATCTCTAAGTTTTCCCATGCAAATAGGGCAAGGTTTACCAACACTTGCTTTACTCCATCTCTCTCAAGGCAGTGATAGCTCCAGTCAAACACCATGTGACCTTGTGTTGCACAAGCAGAAGCTTTACAAGAGAAACTCAAACTGGAGCAAGACACAGAGCTAGGTCTCTGTAGCAGCTTATTGACCTGGCTCCACTGCTTTCAGCAGAGCTGGCTCTTTTGATCTGTTGTTGAAAATGCTGCTTGCATCTCTTCATCAGAGGAAAATATCATCATCTACAGCGAATTTTCTCATTTGATGTCTATGAAAACCATTAAGAGTAATTAATGAGGTTTGTACTAAAAGAATTAGACACATTTTTCAGAGGCTGTGGATGCACTTAATAATCCTGAATTGAAATATCATTATTTAAACATTACAACATAATTCTGTCTCTTTTGAGGATTCTGCATGACTTCCATTGTACTTAAATCAATTGAGAATAGCAATAACACAGCTGAATTTAGATAGACAACAATTAACACCATCACAATTAGTAACAATACACAATGAAAACAACTTTCCAAAACTTACTCATAACACTATTTACATCCACAAATAAAAACCAGATTCTCCCTAATATTTGTTGCCCAATAGCATTTTAAAAAGTAAGCATAGTGCCAGGTAAGCAGGATGATACTGACCCAGGATATACCTGGAGCAAACTGATGATTGCATAGTGATGTTGGAAAGGGAGTGACAACAGGGATTGTTATGATGACTTGGAAAATTTATCCTCCAAAGTCTGAGGTTCTTTCAGTTGAACCTGAGGAAAGGGAGAAACAGATTTGTCCTCTGAGGAGAGGGTCCCCTGGTACTTCAGAAGCCCCAGCTAAGAAGATCAGCTGGTTATAGAGGAACCCACTGGGTGCAGCAATGTGCAAAGTGTTTCTCAGCCACTACTGTGCATTCCTGTTGTCACCACCTGTGTGAAGAGGGAAGAGGAGCCAGCAGCAGGACAGGAGGAAGGAAAGGACAAATTCCACAAGGCTGGGATGTTTCCAGAGTCCATGGATTGTCTGAAGTACCTGAAATTACTGGCATTTGTTAATTCTGCTGCCTGCAAGGAGCTGTTTGTAGGGCATTGCTGCTGGGTTTGTTCTTCCCCTCTGCAACCCTGTTCAGCCTGAATTTGGCTGCCAGGGAGAGGAGGATCACTCTGACTGTGCAGAAGGCAGTTCTACTTTGTCTGTAGATAACAGAGAATTTTAATAATGAGGATTTTTTTTTTTGCTTTTGTTTTGCCTTATCATGAGGTATCTCAGACAGGCCGCGAGGGCTTTACTGCTCACTGTACATTGCCAATAATAGCACAGATTTTCTTGTTGCTCTCTCTAATTTTTCTAGGTCCTAATCACGTGTCTATGCAGCAGTCAGGCCAGAACACTATGCCCACGACCTCTCTGAGTATGACTGTCAGCAGTCATGGAACTGGGCCTGGTTATAGCCATACAGTGCCTGCATCTCAGAATGTGCCAATGCAAGGCCAGGGGTCAATAGGCAATTATGTGTCTCGAACAAACATCAACATGCAATCTAATCCAGGTAAACTCCCTCTTCCTCCTTCTGGGCCAGCTTGACTTTTCAGTGACCTCAGAGGTTTACCACACATGAATTTGTTCTGTAAATATTTTCTGTAGACAGCAATCATCACACCAGAGGAAAAGACAGCTTTGAGACTTCTCTGAATTGCAAGGTGTCAGGGGCCAGTGTAAGTCAGAAAAGTTTCAGACTTGCTTTAACTTAATGCCAGCTTGCCATGGTTAGTGATGAGCTGGGGAAAAGAGGGCTAGCTAGAGCATCTGGTAGCCCCTGGCAGCAAATACCACAGGCGTGGGAGGGATCTGAGAAGCACCTTCATCCCAGCTGAAAGAGCTAACACATTTTCTGTTGGTACCTTACTACCCCATTTTGGTATTTTATTGGTACTTCACACTGCTTGCAGGGCAAAGAGAGACAAGCAGACAACTCAATCTCTTAAGAAAAGTTTGCTACTGAGGATTTGAATGGGATGTCTGATGCTTTAGAATTTTTTTTCAACAGTAGGAAATTTAGGGATCTAAAGAGATTTAGGGATTTCTTTGTTAGGAACTGCAGTGAAAGGACAAGGGATAATGGATTCAAATTGAAGGAGGGGAAATTTAGGTTAGATATTAGGAAAATGTTTTTTCCTGTGAGGGTGGTGAGACACTGGCACAGGTTGCCCAGGGAGGCTGTGGCTGCCCCAACCCTGGCAGTGTTCACAGCCAGGTTGGATGAAGCCTTGAGCAACCTGCTCTGGTGGGAGGTGTCCCTGCCCAGGGCAGGGGGTTGGGACTAGATGATCTGTGTTGTCCATTTCAAGCCCTAAAATTCTATTATATGATTCTATGGTCAAATAAATCCTAGAATATCAATTTACTCAAACTGTATAATCATCAGGTATGTAAGAATATGGAAGCAGAAGAAAGATTTTAGTAGAAAAGAAATGCAGCATTGCAATAGTCTTTACTGTAATAAGGTTTACATCCTTTTAATTAAACTAGTAACAATCAAGGCTAGATATATTTTTAAATATCTGACTGAAGCAAATGGCAAGAACTGACTATGGTAATAACATCCTTTCTGGATTACAGTGCAGAAGAGTTAAATAAATGTAGTAGGAAAACATCTCCCCCTGTGGAAAATACACAGAATTATCAGGATGCATGTTAGTTGAAGGTCTTAACTTGCTTCCAAAGAGACTAGGGAAGAGAACTGCCACATCCTTTTAGAAAACAGTATTTTCCATGTACATTGTAGTCTCCATGATGCACCAGCAAGCAGCAACGTCACATTACAACTCGGCACAAGGTGGGAGCCAACACTACCAGGGACAATCCTCCATTGCCATGATGAGCCAGAGCAACCAAGGCAACAGCATGATGGGGCAGCGACCCATGGGCCCTTACAGAGCTTCACAGCAAGGTAAAATCTGCTGTTAGATTATTGATGTAACTGTTACTAGATTGATGATACTCACTCTGTCCCATGGGGTAGGTAAGTCAACAAAATTTCCAAGTCACGTTTTTGAACAAGGAATCCTGGTGGAAGTATCATGACAATGAGATGACCCTGAATCTATTTTCAAGATTTATCTATTTAAATATTTCAGGTGTTTAGAGCAATAATTCTGTCTAAAAGGGATCATATATCTCTAAAGAAAAGATGAACAATTTGATATACAACTCACTCAAGCCACTGGGAATCTTTGCAATTCCTTCACATGGTGTTGGATCAGCTGTAACATGGCACAGTTAACAAGGAACACAAAAGAAGATATAGTTTGCCAGCAATTAGAATGAAAAATTAGGCCAAGGAAAGGAAAACACCAGAGGATAACTATCATGCTCTAAGACCTCTCTGGAAAAAGTTCGAAGAGGTAATAAAGCTCCTAGACTGATTCTAACATAAACTGAATTTTGCTAAGAAACAAGTGAATGCATTATTTAAAATATAGTTAATTCTGACTGTGTTCTTGAGCTTGGAATCCATTCCTGTGCTTTCTAACAACTCAGATTAGTAGATGAACCGTAGCCATTTCTTTCGGTGTTGCTGCAGAAGTTCTAGGACATGTTACCAACCATTGTGTGATTTCAATTTCAACCAGCTCTTTCTGAGAATGCAAATGTATTTCCTCTTTGTAGTCAGCAAAACATCTTTGAAACTGCTCTCAGTGTACACTGCTTGTTTATTTATCCAGATGTCAACTCTGTTTCCTTTAAAAACAAAGAGAAGAAAACCCCCTCGCTCAGGAGTGCACAGGCTCAGTTTGTTCTCCCCTGTCTGTGCCTTGCAGGTTCCTCGCAGCAGTACATGGGTCAGGAAGAATATTACAGTGAACAGTACAGTCATGGACAAGGCTCATCAGAACCTATGAATCAGCAATACTATCCAGATGGTAATTCCTCTGAGCTGGAGTCACTGTAATACGGTGCAGACCACCGTGACCATCCAAGGACATGGCAAACCTACTGTGATTCATTTCCAATTGGAATGCTATAAAATTCTAATCCCAGGGCATGGGATCCTGGTGCTAAATATACACACCAGTGCACCTTGCTATCCAACTGCTCCAAAAAGAGCACAAAGCCCAGTTTGGATTAGTAAATGCAAGACATTTGTCCATGGGTGTGATTTTCCTTGTCGTGTGTTTGACCTGCTACCTAAGGGTTTGATATTTCCTCTTAGCCTCATCTTGATGCATGAGCAGCTTCATATCATATCATTCTATAATTTTCAATAGTTCTACTAATGATGTATCTCATATATCTTTGTGACTCCTTGTAGGACATGGTGATTATGCCTATCAACAATCATCCTACACCGAGCAGAGCTATGACCGGTCGTTTGATGACTCTACACAACACTATTATGAAGGAGGTAGGAAAATGCACCAAAAACTAACAGTAACATGTCAGTAAATTCAGTATACTATTAAAATAACCTGAACTCTAAATTAACTGGAAATATGAACTCAATTATGATATAGCAAGGTGGCATTTAGGAGAAGCAATGTCATCTATAGAACCTCAGTTGATTTTGTTGTTTCAGGATACAGCACATGGAATTTCCATCATAGGCATGTCAGAAAAATGCCAGTATCAACTAGATAAGTGGTCTTCCTGGGATGTATGAGTAAACATCATTATCTAGGAGAAAATACAGTGGGAGGGCTTCTCTGAGAAACCCGCTGTTTACCCTGGCACCCTTATCTTTGTGGCTTTGTTTTTCTTCTGAAATATTTCTGGGGTAAAAAAAAAAATCCTGTGGGGAACAGGTTACTTGTTTGTTTGTTTAGTGATGTGTATAAATAAATAACTCTCCTGTTCAAAAGAACTAAAAAATCACTGAAGAAATAAACATCCTGCTTGGCAAAACATGAGTTCCAGACCAAAGCTCCTTAAGCCTTGTGATTTGCACATATAGTGAAATAGCTGCCTCGACTGTAACGAAATGATTCCAATTTTTCCCTCTTTAGGAAATTCTCAGTACAGCCAGCAGCAGGCAGGATACCAACAGGGAGCTGCACAACAACAGACATATTCCCAGCAGCAATACCCAAATCAACAGAGTTACCCAGGACAACAACAAGGATATGGTAAGCAAACTGTCTCTGGTGTTTGCAGTGCTTCATCCTGACACCTCCATTCCTAAGATGGAATAGGCTGTGAACTGTTTCCTTGATTAACCTTGGACATCCACATGCTAAACTGGCCAAAGAGCTGGTAAAGGGATTCTGGGAAGTAACATACATTAGTATAGCACAGCATTCCATGCTGTTGTGTCAGCATCCTGAATACTCCTCTTTCTTTTGAAAGAAAGGTAAAAAATACACGTTTGCTTCATGTTGACTTTGTGTTAAATGTCAGCAGCAGGTCACTGCCTGTGTTCCCAGGCCTCCTACACACCTAACCCTTCTGAACTGACATGAAAAAATAACACCCAACAGCCCAGAGAATCACTTCTCCCTCACTTGTGCTGGCACAGCCAGGCTAGAGAGGAACATAAACATGCAGTTGTTACTCAAATAAAGGCCAGGTAGGTTGCACTGAGCTGTGCCAATACAGATTTCAGAGAGGCAAATCACTTAAAAGTATTTTCTGATCGAAGTTTAAAACCTGAAGTGAAGTTTAAACTGCAACTACATCATTATTAGCATTAACACTTCCTAGTTAAAGCTAGAGGGGAGGTCTAGGCAGAATTTACTCACATTTCATACTCAACAGAGCCTAATTTGTCAGTGTCATGTTCTACATTGCATTACCCATTAGTAGTGGATTTTACTGTCTTCTCAGGTCCTGCACAAGGAGCCTCTTCACAATATTCCAGCTACCAACAGGGACAGGGGCAGCAATATGGAAGTTACAGAGCTTCCCAGACAGGCCCATCCGCTCAGCAACAGAGGCCTTATGGCTATGAGCAGGTAAAATGTCTAAATCTCTGCTCTGAAAAAGCAGATCTAGCTGTTAACTCTGCATATAAATATCTCAGATGATTTGCTGCAGGTATGTTGGTGATCCTTCAGTGGGTTTTGTAAAATTCATAGACCAAAAGAAATTGCCTCACCCACTATAAACCTCTGCTGTATTATCCTTCAGCATTTCTATTTCTCTTTTTTTCACAGGGACAATATGGAAATTACCAGCAATAAAAGAACATGATGCTGTGTCAGATTCACTTCAATAGGATCTCCACCTTTTGAACTGGATGTACAGGCAGTTTTGATTAATTGTACTATGTTGGTTACCCCTTAGCACAAAGCAGCGTCTGTATGTGAACAGTGTTCATTTCATGCTGGATATGAAGCAGTGCACTACTGGTAACAAGACAATGCTTTAATGGTTTGATATTTGGTGCTGTGTATAGTACTGTATGTTGATACAATGCAGAAGTTTTTCCATTTACCCCCCACCCTTGCCCCATTCTTGATGTTTCTAAATAGCTTTAGGATCATTTGATCACAGTTGTGCCCCGTTCTGGAAAGCAGACAGGTTGGTCTGCAGCCTGGCTCAAGACAAAGCTCACATCTCAGTCCAGGGAAGTACCCTGTGGTAGGTTATTGATCTTTTTTTTAAGCCTCCAAAATCCATGGCTCTTCTCTTCTTAATAAGGGGATGGACACATTCCTTATACAAAGATCAGCTGCAACTTCTGTAATACCTACCCAAATCTTGAATTCAGTAATCTGCCTAAGTCCACATTTCTGTGGTAAAAGGCACAGAAAGTGGATCCAGACTTATAATACTGGAAATGTTCATCACTAGAGGCACCTTTTATATGTCCATGGAAGGAGAAATGGAAGGGAGCTGTGAGATCTGCAGTGTCAGCCTACTCGACGTCGATATTGCTTCATATCGTGCTTAGCTGAGAACAAACATCTGGCAAAAGTCACATCTTGAATATGCTACTTGGAATTTTATAACTTGCATATGCATTTTCATGCCAAATTTCACAAGCAGGTGGCTGGCATCCTTCTTTATTTCTGGTTCTTCTGCTGCCCTTGCTCAGACTTCCCAGCGAGCATTCTAACCATGAATATTGTCACCTTTGTTGGTCTGTTGGTCTTACAGCTCATCATCACTTTTATTTTCCTCTTGTAGCTTGAAATAGTTCAGAAGTAAAAGAAAAAATCCATCTTTATTGCAGATAAGCAACTAAATTCAGCTTAAATTGTGAAACTATTAGAGAGGGGAACTATTAATGGGGTCAACCAGTGAGAGAATACCTATAGAGGAAGAATTTAGAGGTAAAAACTAGTGGTATGTAAAAACCAGTATGAACAATGTAAGTCACTTCTGTTCAGTTTTACATGTTCTTTTAAAGTGTTGGGGGGGGGGGGGGGGGGAGGGAGGAAAGCACTTTTGAAGTGCTTATATTAAGTGTTGAACAAAATACTGTGTCCACATTTCTCTGAGGCAAAAAGCATTTTTTACCTTGAGGTTAACTGCAAATTTACAACCCAGAGTAAATACACTTTCTGGAGGATTTTCTCTGCTTTGTCTGAACTGCTGTATTTATGGGATTTTGAGGTTGAGTACTTCATATTTTGAAAAACCAAGACCACAAGGAAAAAAAAATCTCTCAATTCATTACCTTTTTTTTTCCTTTAGAGGAAAGTCTTTAACTGGACAACTGAAGAGTTTACTATTAAATGTTGTCCAAGCACTGCCCTTGGTATGGTAGTAATTTTCATTACTGGTTAAATAGAAGACATTTTTTCAGTCAGTCCTCATTTCTCTCATCTTTCCTGCTGGTGTTTTCATACAAGTCAGTACTCTCAAATAGCAAGGAACAGAAAGGAAGAAAGATTGTTTTCTTTACAATAATGACTTTACAGGTAGCCAGAAGAATGCAATATTGCTTTTTGCCAGCTTGGAAATATGCCTTTTATGTGGTTTTTTGAAAGTGCTGAAATGCTTTTGAGAGAATATGAACAACATTTAAACTGAAACAGCAACATTACATCAATCTGAAATGTCTTACATTAAGAACTTCGTGAATGTTGTGTATATAATGTATTTGAAAGAGCACTTTGGAAATAGTTTGTACATTTATTTCCTAATTTATACATGATTTTTGGTGTTAATATTTCTAATTGTTAATAACAAGATGTTTATTTAATGTGTTGTCCATTTTTATGTATTAATGTGGAAACAAAGTGATGCCAGCATTTTGACTTCTTCCATTTTATTGTATCTTCTGTTTTGTAATACAGAATGCTTGAAAGTTGTTTAGGTTAAATATGATCTGAAAGTGAAGTTGGTGGTACTTTTCTTATGACAGATGGAATGGAAAACACAGGTAAAGGGAGATGCTTTTGACTTGTACCTTCTGCTCTGCTTCTCTGATAGACTTCATGGATGGTTATAGAATTACAGAATGGTCTGGGTTGGAAGGGACCTTAAAGATCATCTTGTTCCAACTCCCCTGACATGGGCAGGAACACCTTCCACTAGAGCAGGTTGCTCAAAGTGTCAAGAGGATGGAGCCAGACACTTTTCAGTGGAGCCCAGTGACAGGACAAGGAGCAATGGCCATAACCTAAACCACAAGAAGTTCCACCTCAACACGAGGAAGAACTTTACATTGAGGGTGGCACTGCAATAGCTGCTCAGGGAGGGCATAGAGTCTCCCCCTCTGGAGACATTCCAAACCCACCTGGATGTATTCCTGTGTCACCTGCTCCAGGTGACCCTGCTTTGGCAGGAGGGTTGGACCAGATGATCTTCAGAGGTCCCTTCCAACCCTAACAATTCTGCAATTCTGTAAAAGCCCCATCTAACCTGGCCTTGTACACTTCCAAGGATGGGGCACCCACTGCTGCTCTGGGCAATCTGCTCATTACATAGAAGGACTAGAGGGAATGGTCACAAGCTGAGACAGGGGAGATTCAGTTTAGATGTTAGGAAAATGTTTTTCCATGTCAGGGTGGTCAGGTGCTGGACTAGGGAGTTGCCCTGGGAGGTGATGGAGTCACCATCCCTGGAAGTGTTGAAGAGGCATTTGATTCTGGCACTGGAGGGTCTGGTTTAGGGTTTAGGGGTTACAGCAGTGACAGGTTAGTGGTTGGACTTGATGATCTTTGAGGTTTCTTCCAACCCGGTTGATTCCATGATTCTATAATTCCGGAGTATCTCCAGTGCCTCAGAATCCACGGCCGCTCTGGGCGCTGTGTTGCAGCGCTCGGGGATAGCTGCGGGAACAGCGACTTCTATCGCCGGCGAGAG